GTGAAGCAATAAATTCCTATTAAAAATGTGAACTCTTTCAAGCGGACTCCCACCGCCCTGCTGTGCTCTGCTGTCAGCAGTCTGGGGTGCACCCCTGCATGCCCACACACATCAGTATCACTGTACTATACATTCCGCCTCCCACTCTGCTCTCCACTCAAGGACACGACTTCAATTTTAGAAATGCCAGAGTGTCTCACAGCAGGAGCAGACACTGCACCTTTCAGAGCACCTGGGGAGTCGAGGTTACCCAGACTCTCACCAGGCACCTTGGACAGACACGCCCACTCACCCTACCTTTCCATCAGTGACTTTCAATGCCCCACTCTTCATTTAATTTCCTCTCAAATCTGTACTCTGTGATTCTTTCCTCAAGATGTAGAACTTAACATTCTAGAAGTTTCAAGCCCTTTTTATCATAGCACTAAAATGCACATTTCTTCCAGGGAATATGTAAGTTATGGATGTCTCATCTCATCTGCTAGTTCTTTCTGAGAACCAGGTAGGTTTTAACAGGAAACACTTCCTCTCTCTGCAGGAAGGGCAGTGTAGCCATCAGTAGAATAAACACCAAGTTACTGAACGCTTAGGGGTCTCCAGTGGTACTGAGACTGGGCTTCCACCCAATCCAATGCTTTCTTCTTTAAAGAAAAAAATCTAAGAAGTATTTTGTTTATCTGAAAGGCAGAGAGACAGAGATAGCGAGCAACCCCGTCCCACCCTCAATCTGTTGGTTTCCTCCCCAGATGTGTGCAGCAGCCAGGGTTGGAAGCCAGAAGCCAGGAAGAACTCAATCCAAGTCTCTCAGGTGGCAGGGAAGCACCATCACCTGCTGTCTCCACAGGGTGCATTAGCAGGAAGCTAGAACTGGAATGGGAGCTGGGACTTGAACCCAGATACTCAGTTATGGGATGAGGGCATCCAAGCAGACTCTTAACTGCTAACCAAATACCTATCCTGAATGGGTTTTTTTCCTTCTTTTGAGTGACACTCAAATGCTCAAAGTATTCAAACTCTAAACTCACCATATCTGAATCTCAAATTAAACATAATTGGTCAAATATAGGAAGAATTAATAAATTTGATTTTTTTCCTCCCAGAGTGATATAGCAGGAGCCAAAGAATGACAAAGATTACAAGCAAACCATGAGATTTTAAGTATAACTACCTGCAATGCCAGTATCTAATTCTCTAATCTTTTTAAAAAACTTTTAATTAATTTAACAGATCCAATGTGATTGGTGGATACAATTACATAACGATACTCCTATGCCCCTTTCTCCCCTTCACACCCTCTCTTCTTCTCCCCCCCTTTATTAGTTTCTGAGATAATGTATTTTAAAATTATATTACAGTGAAAAGGCTTAATATTTCACCAACTAAGAAGCTTCACAAGCAAAAAAGCAAAAGTACCGCAGTTTAGTGAGAATAGAGACAATGGCCATAAGCAGTAATTGAGTGGAAAACTTACCATCTCACCAAAAGACAGAGCCACAGATCATTCAAACTACAGTAGTATAGCATTCTTAACCACTGGTTTGACAAGTTATAAAGATTCTCCTATCTTCTGATATTGGCTACATTTTGACCATGCTTTGGGTAAACAAGAAAAGGTGTGGCATAGACTGGAGGGAAAATTCAAACTCGTCAGTCTATGCAGTCAGCCCTATATTCACACTCTTGACCTATACCCAGCATTTCAGCCAGTGATGGCAGCCTAGGGGTAAGGTTACCCATGTGTGGATAACCCTGAGTCCTGAAAATGGACAATAGGTAGAATGATGTTCTCTTCTACTCTCAGATTCTCACATTTCTAAATTGAAAAGCCGTGTCCTTGGCAAAGATATCTGATAAAGCAAAGGGAGTTCTCTCTGGACTCTCACTCTTTAGACGAGAAGCATCACTTTAGACGCCTCTTCTTAACTAGCTCCCTTTCTTGCTACCACCTTTTTTTAAATTTTATTTTTTTGACAGGCAGAGTTAGACAGTGAGAGAGAGGGAGACAGAGAGAAAGGTCTTCCTTCCATTGGTTCACCCCCCAAGTGGCCACAACGGCCGGCGCACTATGCTGATCTGAAGCCAGGAGCCAGGTGCTTCCTCCTGGTCTCCCATGCGGGTGCAGGGCCCAAGCACATGGGCCATCCTTCACTGCCTTCCCGGGCCACAGCAGAGAGCTGGACTGGAAGAGGAGCAACCGGGACAGAATCCAGCGCCCCAACTGGGACTAGAACCCGGGGTGCCAGCGCTGCAGGCGGAGGATTAGCCTAGTGAGCCACGGCGCCGGCCATGTTGCTACCACTTTTACCCTGCTTAGTGTGTGGCCCAAATCCTTCTACATTTCTCTCGGATATATCACTGTACCCTCATTCTTCAACTCTCCTCTTCAGTGGCTTTACAGAAGGAGTCAGTGTATTTCTACCAGGATACTCGACCTTCCCCTCCCGCCCCCAATAGACTTATTTATTTGAGAGGCAGAGTTATAAACAGAGGGAGGGAGAAACAGAGAAGTCTTCCATCTGCTGGTTCACTCCCAAATGGCAACAACAGCCAGCACCAAGCCAATCCAATGCCAGAAGCCAGGAGCTTCTTCCAGGTCCCCTATGTGGGTGCAGGAGCCCAAGCATTTGGGCCATCTTCCACTGTTTTCCCAGGCCAGAAGCAGAGAACTGGATCAGAAGAGGAGCAGTTGGGACACGAACCGGTGCCCGTATGGAATGCTGGCACCACAGGCGGAAGCTTAATCTACTATGCCACAGCCCCCCCGCCCCTTTATTTTTTAAAAATATTTATTATTTATTTATTTGAAAGGCAGAGTTTAGAAACAGAGAGGAGAAGAGACAGATGGACAGAGATCTTCCATCTGCTGGTTCACTCTCGAAATGGCCACAACAAGTGGGACTAGGCCAGAGGATAGCCAGGAGCCAGGAGCTTCTTCTGGGTCTCCTCATGGGTGCAGGGACCCAATGACTTGGGCCATCTTCTGCTCCTTTCCAGGCCTTAGCAGAGAGCTGGATCGAAGTGGAGTAGCCAGGACTTGAAACAGAGCCCATAGAGCAAGCTGGTGCTGCAGCTCGTGGTTTAACCTGCTGCGCCATAGTGCCAGCAACCATTTTTTCTTTCTTATAAACTAGAATTATAGATGCCCAGACCAAAAGAACATTGTGACACATAACTGAGAAACTTTTATTCTGGGGCCAACATGGCTTAGGTGGGTATAGCTGCCACCTATGCTTTATGGGTGCTGGTTTGTGATCTGGCTGCTCCACTTCCAAACCAGCTCCCTACTTATGGCCTGGGAAAGGTAGCCCAAGAAGGTTCAAAACGTAGGTCCCTGCTACCCACATGGGAGACTCAGATAAAGCGCCTAGCCACTTGGGGAGTGAACCAGCAGATGGAAGACCTTTTTCTCCGTTTCTCCCTCTCTCTTTAACTATTTCAACTCAATAAATAAATATTCAAGAAAAAGCAAAAAACTCTTCTTATTAGAGTTGCTAAAAACAATTATACAAGCTGATCAGCCTCAGAAGTCATAACATTTTCCACATGATTTCAAGATGCAACAGACAGCAAAAATGTTGTAACTCAATCAGATCTCAGGATTACATAACCATCTAAGTCCTAACACAATGGAAAGGAAAAAACTTAAATATGCTTTGCTCACTTGGGGGTGTAAGTCTTGAAAAGCAAGGCTACATTAACTATTAAAGAAATAGGACCATATCTACCTGCAATTTTGGACATTTCCTCCTTAAATACAAGCCATTATGCTAGTACCTGCCTCTTCTAGAGAAATCTTACCAAATCAAATTATTTTACCAACTGTGCAGTTTCTGTCACCTCTGAGGAGGACCAACCTTACCAGGCTGGCAATATAAGAAGCTGGCAACACCTCTGCTGATTACACGGTGGCTGGGGAAAACCTGAGTCAGGAATCAGGTATGGAAAAGATCTGTTTTGAGGTGGTCTATTTTTATTGGTGTCACAAAATTATTCCCTATCACTCCTTAAAATGACTTAAAAGTGGTTTTAGGCCGGTGCCGCAGCTCAATAGGCTAATCCTCTGCCTGTGGCACCGGCACACCAGGTTCTAGTCCCAGTCGGGGTGCCAGATTCTGTCCCGGTTGCCCCTCTTCCAGTCCAGCTCTCTGCTGTGGCCCGGGAAGGCAGTGGAGGATGGCCCAGGTGCTTGGGCCCTGCACCCCATGGGAGACCAGGAGAAGCACCTGGCTCCTGCCATCGGATCAGTCAGTGCGCCAGCCGCAGCGGCCATTGGAGGGTGAACCAATGGTGAACCTCTCTCTCTCTCTCTCTCACTGTCCACTCTGCCTGTCAAAAATAAAATTGGTTTTAAATATAATCTATGTGACAGATTTTAAAATAATATTTATTTTCATCTATTTGAAAGTCAGTAACAGAGAGTGAGGGAGAGAGAGAGAGTAAGAGAGAGAGAGTGAGAGAGTGAGAGAGAGAGGTCTTCCATCCATTGGTTCACTCCCCAAATGCTTACAACAGCCAGGGTTAGGTCAGGTCAAAGCTTGGAGCCCAGAATTCCACCTGGGTCTCCAGTGTAGCTGGCAGGAACCCCACTACTTGAGTCCTCACCTACTGCCTACCATGGTAAGCATCAGCAGGAGGCTGGACTCGGGATCAGAGGCAGGATGTGGATCCAGGCCCTCCAACATGGGACGCAGCATCCCTGGCAATGTCTTCACCACTGTGCCTAATGCACTATCCCTCTCCTTTATTTTGGGGATCAGTATGAAATATGTGCTTTTAGGATTAAATTAAGTTCACACTGAATATACAAATGTTAGTATCTTCCTCAAACAGGGATTAACCTCAGTCTAGGAACTGAAACCATGTGTAGCAATAACAAACATGCACACACTTATTTCTGTCTAAATCAGAGATTATCTACAACTCCTGTACTTTATCCCTCTAAATGCAGAGATAGACAGCCATATCACATTAGCAACTCAACTGTCACAACAAACTCTTACCTTCACGTCGGCAATAAGTGCGTCTTCGTCTTCGATCCCCGTGGGGACACACTTTTTATGCAGTGGCAGAGATTCCAACTTATCGACAAGACAGCGAAGGCCTTCAAGCTCAAAATGGGTGAGATGCACCTGCCTGTCCTTCCGAGGGCTGCACTGGGCATCCCACACTTGGCCATTGTGGGAGCCCCGGCTGGAGTCAGAGGAGGAGTCCCCAGACAAAGTTTTCTTCAGACTTGGAAGATTTCGGCAGGCTCTGCCCAATCCATCATAATCCAGGTTGACCCCATTAGCTACCGGGCTAGTGAGGACAGAACGCCTGCTGCTCAGGCGCCGGGGCTCTCGATCCACTGCTTCCTCTTCTCCGTTTCCAGACTCCAACCCATTCAACTCCAGATCTACCAATTGGATGAAAACATGCAGTCAGAACATGCCCGCTGGCTGTGTGATCAATGAGATACAGGTGGCATGGGAAGGGCCTTGAAGTGATAAATGACAACGCTGTCACATTTAAAAGACAGTTGCTCCTGACCCCAATTTATTTGTCTACTGTTGAAAATCATTGCAACATGTGGCACAGCAGGTTAAAGCCCTGGCGGCCTGCAGCACCGGCATCCCATGTGAGTGCCAGTTCAAGTCTTGGCTGCTGCACTTCTGATCTAGCTCCTGCTAATGCACCTGGGAAAGAAGTGGAGGAGCCCGAGTGCTTGGGTCCCTGCACCCACTTCGGACTTGCTGAGCTCTGGTGGTTGCACCCATCTGGGGAGTGAACCAGCAGATGGAAGACCTCTTTCTTTCTCTCTCTCTCTCTCTCTCTGTGTGTCTCTACCTCTCTGTATCTGTTTTTCATAAATAAAAATAAGTTTTTGAATTAAAAAGAAAGAAAGAAAGAAAGAAAGAAAATCATCGTGTAGGTAGAAACAGGATTCTTACCTAGTAGAACCACTGTGGTAACAATCAATTGGATTTTGAAAAACTTGGTAAGGACCCAGTCTTGAACTATGGACCAGGAATGAGTTACCAATGAAAGGGCTGTAATTTACTTTCAACTATCAGCTTTAATTTGGGATTATGGGGCCAGTGCTGTGGGAGTTGGCAGCTTAACTCATTATGCCACAATGCTGGCCCCCCTTGGGGCCAGGGCTTTGGTGTAGAAACTTAAGCAGCTGCCTGCAGGACTAGCATCCCATATGGACATTGGTTCGAGTCCCAGCTGCTCCACTTCCAATCCAGCTCCCTGTTAATGTACCTGGGAGGGCAGCGGAAGATGAGCCAAGTGCTTGGACCCTTGCCACCCACAAAGGAGATCCAGAAGAAGCTCCTGGTTCCTGGCTTCGGCCTAGCCCAACCCCCTGTTGTTGCAGCATTTGGAAAGTGAACCAGCAGAAGGAAGATCTCTCTTTCTCTCACTCTGCCTTTCAAATAATAAATAAATCCTGGGAGAGAGAGAGAGAGAGAGAGAGAGAGAGAGAGAGATTGATTTGAAAGGCAGAAATAGAGAGGGAGGGAGAGAAAGAGCCCTCTCCCATCTGCTGCTTCACTCTCCAAATAGCCAAACAGTCAGACCTGGGTCAGGCTGAAGCTGAGAGCCAAGAACTCCACTCTGATGTCCTACAAGGGTGGCAGAGGCTCAAAAACTTGGGCCATCTTCTGGAACCTCCCTAGGTGCATTAACAGGAAGCTGAATTGAAAGTGGAGTAGCCAGAACTCAAACAGGTGCTGCAACATGGGAGGCGGCATCGTAAGCAGCAGCTTATCTTGCTGTTTCAAAATGCCGCCCCTCTCTACCCCTCAAGATGTATTTTTACAAGATCCAAGCATGTTGTATATACAATTATGTGCCCTGCTTTCATATATCAAGTGACAGTGTCATTTTCAAGTGACAGTATAAACTATGAGGACGGTTATTCAACAGTAGGTTGCTGAAGCATGTTGTTTAATGTTAAACCAGAAAGTAACTGGCTTGGACTGGCGCTTCTGTAGAAATGTGATCACAGGAATCACAGTGTTGGCTCCTCTCCGATCTAAGACCTGGAACAGTCTAAATCTACGTACCGGAACTATCCTGTGTTCTCGTGACAGATGTTGGGGAAATGTGAAAGCAATGTTAAGAGCCTCGATTTTATTTATTTTAAAAAACTTATTCATATGAGAGGCAGAACACAGAGAGGGAAAGATTGGGGGAGGAAGGGAGGAAGAAAAGGGGAGAGAGAGGAGTAGGGAAGAGGAGAGATATGCTTGCCCAAGAGCATTAGGATTTTCTAGTCTGATCAACCTGGTTCAAGGTGCGGCATTGCCTCTTAATAGCTGTTAAGATCAGACAAGCCAGCGCCGCGGCTCAATAGGCTAATCCTCCACCTAGCGGCGCCGGCACACTGGGTTCTAGTCCCGGTCGGAGCGCCGGATTCTGTCCCGGTTGCCCCTCTTCCAGGCCACCTCTCTGCTGTGGCCAGGGAGTGCAGTGGAGGATGGCCCAAGTGCTTGGGCCCTGCACCCCATGGGAGACCAGGAGAAGCACCTGGCTCCTGCTTCGGATCAGTGCAGTGCGCAGGCCGCAGCGCGCCAGCCGTGGCGGCCATTGGAGGGTGAACCAACGGCAAAGGAAGACCTTTCTCTCTATCTCTCTCTCTCACTATCCACTCTGCCTGTCAAAAAAAAAAAAAAAAAAAAAAAAAAAAAAATCACAGACAAGTTTTAAAATCTTGAACCTTCATTTCCACACTGTAAAATGGAAGCTGGGAATCAAACCCAGGCACTTTGATGTGGGATACAGGAATCTTAACCACATCTTACCTACCTCACAGGTAATAATAAGAATTTAATGTGTACAATTTACTTATTTCGGTGACTGGCATATAACAAGAGTTATTTTAATGACACATTCCTAGTTTCTATTGTACCGAAGACCATTCTTTACATAATAAAACATGTTAGATGACTGATCACCTTTCCTGAGGAGCCATGTATGAGCAATTCAAAGATAGGACCTAGAGTATTTCATTTAGCCTAGTACTTCATATCTGCATAGGTTCAACTCCAAAGAATGAATTTGGTACCTTCACACAGATAATTAAAAGGTGGTTATGCACTCCAAAAAACAAAAACGTAACTACTGAAGAACAGCCTAATGAATATTCCTGGGCTCATTCTCGCTCCTAAAGGGCATCTCCAGAGTTCAAGCAGGCAGAATCCTTACCCATGCTGAGGGACTCTTTCTGAAACTCCTTCGTTAGGTGGGAACGGTTGGTTATACAGTACACATAGCGCTCCAAGACATACCAACACATCTCATAGTAGAATGGATAGCGGAACTTATTTGGAACCTACACAGGAACAAGATAATGAGAAATGCAAGATGATGATACTTTCCAAGCAAAGGAGAATAAGAGAAACTGAATCACTGTAGTAATGAACCCAAGAAAAAATCCTTGCTGGTCAACTTACAAACCCAGGTTGGCATTTGAAGCCAGAATTTTAAATTAATCCACCAACTTAGAAAATGCTGGTCTTGGCCGGCGCCGCGGCTCACTAGGCTAATCCTCCGCCTGTAGCGCCAGCACACCGGGTTCTAGTCCTGGTCGGGGCGCCAGATTCTGTCCCAGTTGCCCCTCTTCCAGGCCACCTCTCTGTTGTGGCCCGGGAGTGCAGTGGAGGATGGCCCAAGTCGTTGGGCCCTGCACCCCATGGGAGACCAGGAGAAGCACCTGGCTTCTGCCTTCAGATCAGTGTGGTGCGCCGGCCATTGGAGGGTGAACCAACGGCAAAAGGAAGACCTTTCTCTCTGTCTCTCTGTCTCTCTCTCACTATCCACTCTGCCTGTCCAAAAAAAAAAAAGAAAAGAAAAAAGAAAATGCTGGTTTTGGAAACAACCAGTATAGGCAAAAAAAAAAAAAAAAGAAAGAAAGACCATTCAGCTGAAAAACACCAAGAAGCTAAGTTGGATGATTGGGTAAAGATTAAAAAGAAATTCTGGGTTTTGGGAGAGAGAATAAATGTGAAGAGTAAGACACAAAATACTTGAGAAAATTGTTTTAAGGTCTTTAGGATACAAAGACTTTGCTTTATTACAGTTTTACTTAGATTCAAAAGGCCAGGGAACAAAGTTACACTTTCATGTTACAACATTACATGAATGAAAGCACAATTAGAGATTTATTCTCAAGCTGTGATCCAGGAGACAAGACTGGGTACCTTCCCCAAGATCAACTCAGCCTGTGTGCCCCTCATGTGTACTCTGCCACGCATCAGGATAATGGCTCACAGGTCCTCATAAACCACACTCTATAGTTTTCCATCCAACTGTTCTCAAAAACAGTATGTTTTTTTTCTTCCCATTCTCCCCAAAAGAGCATTTTATATTATACTAGCTGAATAATAATAGAATCACCTGCCATAGTCAAGGAAAAGGCAAATCAGCAATGAAGAGTGAGGAAGACTGAAGATGGGACTACCCTAAATACACCACACTGCCCTTCAAGAGGCCATCAGTAAGCCAAACATCCTTTTTAAATAACTTTCTGAAGTTCATTTTTATCTACTTGAAAGGCAGAGTGATAGAGATGCCTGCAACAGCTGCAGCTAGGCCAGGCCAAAGCCAGGAGCCTGGAACGCATTCAGAGGCTCCCAGGTGGAGGGTGGGGACCCAAGTCCTGAGCCATCATCTGCTGCCTCTCAGGATGCATGAGCAGGAAGCTCATCAAAAACAGAGGTACCAGGACTCCACTGGCACTCCAGTGTGGGATGCGGTGTCCCAAGCAGAGACACCACGGTGCCCATCCCCAGACAGCACTTTTGAGATTGTCTGGAATATGAAACTCCTCAGGATGTCCCATCTCCTCCCTTATGATGACACCACCCACCCATTTCTCAAAGTCCCATTATCAGGCAGTCTCCCCAGAAGAAAGCGGACCAGATGGGAGACCCTTCCACAAACCTGCACCAGGTCACAGGCATCTCTGAGAGGCAGGATAGACATGCACTATTCCTCGTCAGCCCACCCGGCTCTCCAATGCAGAGTACTCAGAGCCTGAATCAGGGTCTCTCAGGCAGCGTTACAGGCTTTACCTAGAAGAGGTTTCTCCTCCCCTGTTTAAAGCTGACTGTTTAAAGTCAGCTTCATCTATTTCTGCCAAAGGGGCACGGGGGATGAAGCATAAACACTATGAGGCAGTGTTGTTCTCCTCAGATTAAACATTACACAATGTGCTTCTCTACTAGTCTTTTATTTATTTATTTATTTATTTTATTTTATTGTTTATTTTTTTTGACAGAGTGGACAGTGAGAGAGAGAAAGGTCTTCCTTTGCCATTGGTTCACCCTCCAATGGCCGCCACGGCCGGTGCACTGCGCTGATCCGAAGGCAGGAGCCAGGTGCTTCTCCTGGTCTCCCATGGGGTGCAGGGCCCAAGCACTTGGGCCATCCTCCACTGCACTCCCGGGCCACAGCAGAGAGCTGGCCTGGAAGAGGGGCAACTGGGACAGAATCTGGCGCCCTGACCGGGACTAGAACCCGGTGTGCCGGCGCCACAGGCGGAGGATTAGCCTATTGAGCCGTGGCGCCGGCCACTAGCCTTTTAAATATTCTAACTGGTAGGCCAAATGCCCAGCCCCCATTTTTTTCTTTTAAATTTATTTATTTTTCACTAGGGACTCATCATCAGACTTTATTAATAGAAGCCAGGGTAGGGCTGGCGCTGTGGTGGGTAAAGCCACCTGTAGTGCCGGCATCCTATATGCAAGCCGGTTCAAGTCCTGGCTGCTCCACTTCCAATCCAGTTCTCTGCTGTGGCCTGGGAAAGCAGTAGAAGATGGCTTAAGTCCTTGGGCCCCTGCACCCGCATGGGAGACCCAGAAGAAGCTCCTGGCTCCTGGCTCCAAATCAGCACAGCTCTGGCCATTGTGGCAAACTGGGGAGTGAACCAGCAGAAGGAAGATCCCTCTCTCTGCCTCTCCTTCTCTGTGTAACTCTGACTTTCAAATAAATAAATCACTTCCTAAAACCCAACATAAGAAAGCCAGCGCAGGGTCATTGCCCCGCCACCCTGCTCCCATTTCTTTTTTTTAATCCTGTTTATCTTTGTGTGTGTGTGTGTGTGTTTTAAAGATTTATTTATTTGAAAGTCAGAGTTACACAGAGAGAGAGAGGTCTTCCACTCACTGGTTCACTCCCCAGGTGGCCTCAACGGCCGAAGCCACTCCAAGGCCAGGAGCCAGGAGCTTCTTCCAGGTCTCCCACACAGGTGCAGGGGCCCAAGGACTTGGGCCATCTTCTACTGCTATCCTGGGCCATAGTGGAGAGCTGGACAGGAAGTGGAGCAATCGGGTCTTGAACCGACGCCCATATGGGATGCCGGCGCTTCAGGCCAGGGCATTAACCCACTGCGCCACAGCGCCATCCCCAAACATTCTAATGTAAATATTAAAGTTCTACAATGATATGACAAAAATAACAAAGATGATCTTGTTGACAACATACTTTTCAATTCTTTCATAAAATATTCTGTATTATTCTCTTCTAAATAGGAATTAATAGATACTAGTAACATTACTAAATGGATGCCAGGTAGGTACTGGCACATAAATAATTTGGTATGGAAAGCAATAAAAAAATTGCTGGGCTGGCATTGTGTTGTAATGGGTTAAGTCACCACTTGTAATGTCAGCATCCCATATGGGTGACCATTTGAGTCTTAGCTGCTCCACTTTTTTTTTTTTTTTTTAAAGATTTATTTATTTATTTGAAAGAGTTACACAGAGAGAAGAGAGGCAGAAAGAGAGAGAGAGAGAGAAAGAGAGAGAGAGAGAGAGAGAGGTCTTCCATCTGATGGTTCACTTCCCAATTGGCCACAACAGCCAGAACTGTGCTGATCTGAAGCCAGGAGTCAGGAGCTTCTTATAGGTCTCTCATGTGGGTGCAGGGGCCCAAGGATTGGGCCATCTTCCACTGCTTTCCCAGGCCATAGCAGAGAGCTAGATTGGAAAAGGAGCAGCTGGGACTAGAACCAGTGCCCATATGGGATGCCGACACTTCAGGCCACGGTGTTAACCTGCTCTGCCACAGTGCCAGCCCCAGCTGCTCCACTTCTGATCCAGCTCCCTGCTAATGCATCTGGGTAAGCAGCAGAAGATGGCCCAGTCCTTGGGCCTCTGCACCCATGTGGGAGACCTGGATGAGGCTGCTGGCTTTGGCCTAGCCCAGCCCTGGTCATTGTGGCCATTTGGGGAGTGAATGGGCAGATGGAAGACCTCTTGGCTCTCTCTCTAACTCTGCCTTTCAGTTAAATTAAATAAATCTTTAAAAAACAAAAAATGGGGGCCGGCACTGTGGCGCAGCAGGTTAACGCCCTGGCCTGAAGTGCCGGCATCCGATATGGGCGCTGGTTTGAGACCCAGCTGCTCCATTTCCTGTCCAGCTCTCTGCTGTGGCTTGGGAAAGCAGTAGAAAATGACCCAAGTCCTTGGGCCCCTGCACTCGCGTGGGAGACCTGGAGGAAGCTCCTGGCTCCTGGCTTTGGATCGGCGCAGCTCCAGCCGTTGCGGCCACCTAGGGAGTGAACCATCGGATGGAAGACCTGTCTCTCTCTCTCTCTGCGCCTCTCCTCAATCTGTGTAACTCTGACATTCAAGTAAAATAAATAAATCTTAAAAAACAAAAACAAAAAAAATGGGGGCCAGGGCTGTGGTGCAGTAGGTTAAATAAATCCCTGGCTTGAAGCGCCAGCATCCCATATGGGTGCTGGTTCTAATCCTGGCTTTTCCTCTTCCGATCCAGCTCTCTGCTATGGCCTGGGATGGCAGTAGAAGATGGCCCAAATCCTTGGGCTCCTGCACCCATGTGGGAGACCCCTAAGAAGATCCTGGCTCCTGGCTTTGGATCAGCGCAGCTCCAGCCGTTGTGGCCATCTGGGGAGTGAACCAGCAGATGAAGACCTCTCTTTCTCTCTCTACCTCTGTCTTTCAAATAAATAGAATAAATCTTTAAAAACAAATGCTGTAAGTACATAGGTAGGGAATCAAATGAAATTTTATAATTTTATAATTCCATTTGGAATGGAAGAATCATCCCATATTTAGAAAAATATATGGTTAGATATATGGAATTTGACATTTTCTGATAAATTAAGACTAATAAATGAATAAATAAATATCAGTGATTACAGGAAGTTTACAGGAAACTTTTCATGCAGAGATAAGGTGCTCATTTTACTGATGCTATTGAATATATATTTTCCCTTTCTTCCCTGAAACCAAACCAATTAAGCCCTGGGTATAACAGCCAATTTTAGTCACAGAAAGGGAATGCATTCTAAAAAGTAATTTTCAGAGTGAATCTTAGAACAGATGGGTGCTATTACCTCTTCAAATAATTGAATTAAATAAGAATATTTTATTATGAATTATATAGGTTTTCTCCTTTCTAACATTTTTACCAAATTTTACATATATAACTTGAAACTTATACTTAAAATTTTCAGAATTTCATTACTCTTAACAAGCAGAAATTCAAATTTACACCATTTATTGAGACAACACTGCTTTCTTTCTTAATTATACTATAATTAAGCAGTTCCTATAATGCCAACAATAATATCCATCTTGGGCATGAAGCAATATATAGCTCCTATGACAAATGCACCAGAATGGCTAAGTGATCACATTCATAGCAAACAGGTCGACAACTATTCCTCACAAAATACAAATTCTTCACTAATTGCTATTTAAAACTTTTAATACCTTTGTATTTACCCAGAAAGTTTCAACAACAGAACCATGAACAGAAATTTCTATACCCATCTCTGAGATTCTCCAACTGCTGACAATGCCCCACATTTGTTAATCTGTTCACAATTCCTGTTGTTATTTTGCTATACTACTTGAGGGTAAATTGTGAATATCACAACCTACAAATATTAATTGCTACTTAACATCAACACGACTTATAGCTTGCATCACACATAATCCAGTCCTTAACAACCAGGGTTCTACTGAAAAATTAAGCCTTAATTCCCTAAGTCACGAGTAGGCAAAACAGCAGCTCGTAGATTTGGTCTGTGTCTGTTTTTGGAAAGCCTGCAAAGCAGTAGTGTTTTTCACATTTTACAGTGGTTGAAAAACAACTAAAGAATATCTTATGGCATGCTGAAATTGTATAAAAGTCAAATTTCAGTGTCCATAAATAAAATTATATTTTATTTGAGCCATACTCATTCACTTAAGTATTTCATAAAACAAAGCAGGATTAAGTACTTTTAACAGATAATGAATAACTCATAAAACCTAAATTATTCACTATATGGTCCTTTATAGAAAAATTTTGCCAACTCTTGCCTTAAGGTATCCAGTGGATGCAATGAATTAACTTTTTCCCTCTGCATCTAGAATGGTACCAGCCAGCATGGACCATCCTAGGGAAAACCGAGAAAATAAAGACACACAAGGCTGTAGGGTTTAGTTTGCTCATGGAACCCCTGTTGACAGAGATGATATGCAGATTTATATATTAAAGAGAGTTGATTCAAGTGTTAGGCAGTAATCAAAGAGACCTCTACATAAATTTAAAGTTGTGAGACTTGAGTTTACAACTCCCGTTACAACAAATTATTCTATAATCCTAAAAATGAAAAGCATGGCTCCAGAGGTCAACAGCTATCTATATCCGGCCCTACAAGAACCCAAGATACCAAGAGCCTCAAACAACTGGAATACCAAAACCAAGTATGTTAGTTCTGTTAAAATTTTTCTCTGTGCTCCCAAAATATGAACATTGCATTTTAATAAGAAAGTTTTTAAGAAAAGTTGAAGTTTTGACAACTGTCCATGAATCTCTTGTAATATCTGTCTTAAAAGGAGTAAACCTCTTTGCATCCAAATGTAACAAAAAATACAAACCCGTGTCCGATCTTCAATGTTGTATATTTTTAGCTGCATAGGGATGTTGAAGCTATGCAGAAAGTTGCCTCCAAATACTAACGTGTCTGTAGGAGTATACACGGCATGAATCCAGCCTGGAAGAGAGGGCATAAAGGGCAGGCGTTCAGAGCACACACACAACGTGGCTTCCTCAGAAACCAGCCCAAGATCCAGTATCACAGCGTTTACTCTCACTCTGCTTCTCTGTCTGGTCAAGTTACTTAACCTCTCAAAGTCTCAATTTCCTCCAGGATAAAGTAAACTGGTTGTCAGGGAAGTGTTAAATGCATGTAAAATGTAAAATGATTAGAACAGAGCCCGGCATTGTGGCGTAGTTGCCACATGTGATGCCAGCATCTCATATGGGCTAAGTTAGGGCATAAACAGCTTGCTTTTTTATTTTTTTAAATTTTAAAAATTTGTTTATTTGAAGGGCAGAGTTAGAGAGAGAGGGAGACAGAGACAAAATTTCTATCTGCTAGTTTACTCCCCCAGTGTCTGCAATGGCCAGTGCTGAGCCAGGCTGAAGCCAGGAGCCAGGAGGTTCTTCTGGGTCTCCTACATGGGTGCAGGGGCCCAATACTTGAATCATCTTCTGCTGCTTTCCCAGGTGCATCAGCAAGGAGCTGGATCAGAAGTGGAGCAACCAGGACTGGAACCGGCATCCATATGGGATGCCAGTGTTGTAGGCAGCAAGCAGTTTTACCCACTCTGCTACGGTGCCGGCGCCAAGATTTATTTAATTATTTGAAAGGCAGAGCTACAGAGAGAGAAGGAGAGACAGACAGAGAGATCTTCCATCTGCTGGTTCATGCCCCACATGGATGCAATGGCCAGGGCTGGGCCCATCAGAAGGCAGGAGACAGGAGCTTCATCCAGGTCTCCCATGTGGGTACAGGGACCCAAGTACTTCAGCCATCTTATGCTGCTTTCCCAGTGCATCAGCAGGGAGCTGGATCTTAAGTGGAGCAGACAAGACTTGAACTGATGCCCCTATGGAATGCTGGCACCACAGGTGGCAGCTTAACCTGCTACACCACAATGCTGGCCCCCAAACCCTTGTTCTTTACAAGCACTTATTTTGGAACTAGTGACTTGATTTAAAAAAGAAATAATGAATCCACAATCTAGCCTTCAAAGCCTTTCTCTAGAAGAGCCAGTAGTTCCTCACCAGGGGTGATATATCACCTGCAGAGCAGGCCTTCTCTGTAGAGATTCTGAGTTACTAGAACTCATGTGGGAACCAAACATGTAGATCTGACCCTACTGGCAATTCTGACATACCTTTAATGGAAAAGTACTGCCTTTAAAAGTTTTTTAAAAAAATATATCTTCAGTACCTGCTCCATAATGACAGAAAAGGACACCATTGTTTGCCACCCTAGCATCATAACCACTGTCGGCAATAATCCATCAACTATTTTCTGTAATAAAAAGTGGCTGGCACCCTTCTTGTACCATCTCGCTCACCTGAAGGAATGACGAAGGTATAGCCCTGCTTGAGCTCAATGCGCTGGCAATCTGATACCCGGTCACCCAGAAAGATGTCTCCCTGTTTCCCTGACAGCAGCCAATTCTCGTACAGCTCCAGGTTGTGGGCTGTAGGGGGGATGAGCCAGAAGACCTGTGAGTTAAAAAACTTCAGTCTGTTAATAGCCATTGACATGACCCAGTCGTCTCCCTCAACTGATGAACAGGTACGTGAGTGAAGACCACCAGGTTAGAGAGGAAAGCAATTCTCCTAGCCTACAGAACTAGACTGGGAAATTCAGAGAGCCCAAGAAAGCAAATCTTCCTCATCCTTCACTTGACCAAGTGGCATTAGGGCCTCCCTGGAGTTTGAATCTAGAACCCAGAACACAGCTGAGACTGAGAGCAGAGGACACCCATCCTGCTAGCTAGGCAGTGCCTAAGATGCCTCTGGCTGTCTAGAGGCCTTGGAGACCTAAGCAGCACAGTGAGTTAGATCCATATAATGTCTCTGAGAGACCAACTCCAGTTGCTTTATTTCAGAGTAGTCACTAAAACCAGTAAGATAAAACTTTTAAGACAGCACTAACATGGATTAACTGAGGTTAGCATTTCAGCACAGTGAGTTACACCGCTGCTGACCATGTTGGCAATCCATATTGGAGTGCCGGTTTGAGTCCTGGCCATCTGTGTTTTTTTTTTTTTTTTTCCACTTATTTATTTATTTGAAAGGCAGAATTACCAAGAGGAAGAGACACAGAGAGATTCTCCATCTGCTGGTTCACTCTTGCAAATGGCAACAACAAACTGGGACTGGACCAGGCCAAGGTCAGGAGCCAGAAACTCCATCCCCATCTCCTGCATGGGGGACAGGGGCCGTCTCCCCTGCTTCCCCAGGCCACAGCAGGGAGCTGGACCGGAAGCATAGCAGCCAGCACTTGAACTCATGCCAATGTGAATGCTGGCGTGGCAGGCAGCAGCCAGCCACTGGAAACAGTTGGTTTAATTAAGCATTTACTGTGTTTACATTTAGTGTGGTCATTCTGGCTGAAGTGTCCCTCCTGTCTGTTTTCTTCCTTTTTTTTCAAGACTTATTTATTTGAAAGGCAGAGTTACAGAGAGACAGAGACAGAGAAAGGCGTCTTCCATCTGCTAGATCACTCCCCAAATGGCCGCAACAGCCAGAACTGGGCAGATCTAAAGCCAGGTGCTAGGAGCCAGGAGCTTCTTCCAGGTCTCCCACATGGGTACAGTGACCCAAGCACTTGGGCCATCTATTGATTTCCCAGGCCATAGCATACAGCTGGATTGGAAGTGGAACAGCGGGTACTTACAGTACCCATATGAGATTCTGGCACTGCAGGCTGTGGCCTTATCCACTATGCCACCGGCCCCATTTTTTTTTTTCTGAAGTTTTATTTATTTGAGAGGCGGAGTTACAGACAGACAGACAGAGAGCTCTTCCATCCACTGGTTCACTCCCCAAATGGTTGCAACACCGGAGCTGGGCTGATCCGAAGCCAGGAGCCAGGAGCTTCTTCAGGGTCTCCCACGTGGGTGCAGAGGCCCAAGCACTTGGGCTGTCCTTTGCTGCTTTCCAAGGCCATTAGCAGTGAGCTGGATCAGAAGCGGAGCAGCCAGGACTCAACCTGGTACCCACATGGGATGTCAGCACCGCAGAGGCTTAACTTACTATGCCACAGCATCAGCCCTGGCTGCTCCACTTCTAATCCAGTTCCTTATTAATGAGCCTAGGAAAACAGCAGAGATGGTCCAAGTACTTCGGCCCCTGCCACTCATGTGGGAGAGTTAGATGGAGTTCCAGCTCCTGGCTTGAGCCTAGACCAGTCCTGGCCACTGCAGCCATTTGGGGAGTGAACCAGCAAATGGAAGACCATGTTCTCTCTGCCTTTTAAAATATATAAAAAACAGTGCCAGCATCCCACAGGAGTGCTGGTTCGAGTCCTAGTAGCTCCACTTCCAATCTCCCTGCTGTTGGCCTGTGAAAGCAGAAGGTGGCCCAAGTGCCTGGGCCCCTGCCATCCATGTGGGAAACCTAGACGGAGGTACTGGTTCCTGGCTCCTGGCTTTGGCCAGGCCCAGCCAGGCCATTAAGGCCATTTACGGAGCGAACCAGTGGATGGAAAATTTCTGTTTCTCCTCCTTTCCTTGTAACTCTGTCTTTCAAACAAAGAAATAAATCTTTAAAGATTACTGTTTCCTCTCAGAAACGCATTCACTTCAGGGGCCGGCAATGTGGCGCAGTGGGTTAAAGCCCTAGTCCGAAGTGCCAGCATCCCATATGGGTGCTAGTTCTAGTCCCAGCTGCTCCTCTTCCGATCCAGCTCTCTGCTATGGCCTGGGAAAGCAGTGGAAGATGGCCCAAGTCCTTGGACCCCTGTACCCATGTGGGAGATCCGGAAGAAGCTCCTGGCTTCAGATCGGTGCAGCTCCAGCTGTTGTGGCCATCTGGGGAGTGAACTAGCAGATGGAAGACCTGTCTTTCGGTCTCTCTCTCTCTCTAACTCTGTATTTCAAATAAAATAAATAAATCTTTAAAAAAAAATGCATTCACTTCCAAAAGAAACAAAGGGCGATAAAGTGTAATTCTATAAACCTCTGATACTATTTCCAGATTTCCATTCACACATAGCATTCAGAAGCTCTGACAAGCTGTCATGCAATCCTTGCTGAATGGGGATAATCTCTCAAAGCCCATTTACATCTGCAAAAGGGCTAAAGGCTTCCTTTGGTCACACTTCAGATCAATGTCTCTGTACAGGGAAAGTTGGTTTGGATCCTAATTTGCTGATTCCATTGTGAATCTATTCAAAATCTGGTACGTCTCCTTCTACTTCATCACTACACTTCCATGTGTTTACCACAACTAAATAATTACAAATAAAAATCAAGTCCATATGAACGTGGATTTGATCTTACAGGTTCAGAAATTATCTTGTCCTCCTAAAATCACTTCCTTAACCTTGCCTTGAAGAACTCTGCTTTGGGAGTCTAGAGACAAGACCGCTGAGGTTTACTAGGTACTGTGCTGACAGTGGTGTAATCACAGCAGACTGGATGAATATGAAACTGCTCACTCTTGGCCAAGGTCATCTTAATCTTCAGTTTTCTCTAACTGGAAGAGGGACAAGTTCCTCACAAATTCATTTCCAGAGTACAGTAAGTATACATGAACTGAGCAAAGCCACATAACCAGCTTCCTAGCTCAAACCCATCACAGCCATGACCATACCTTTCCCCCTTGATGGATGTGATACCAAACAGAGGTACCACCAAAGTCCACATGGAAGTCAGTATAGCAGCCTCGAACACTCATTAGACAGTACCTGACCCAAAGAAAAGCAGGAGCATTAGTGTACTAACGAAAGAGGGCATGCCTTACCATAATGTCACACTCTGCTTTTGTGTACACCCCCAACCTTCCACCTAAACAGCTCCCAGCAGGTGGCGGGAACGCAATTTCACATCACATTACAAAAAGAATGGTCCTTCCCCTTTAACCATGAGACCACATGCTGTGGTTCTCTCTCACATACTCCTCTTAGAACTGTGAAGTCTACTCTCTAAAAGCAAGTCTTCTTTTGGATCATTCAGGACAGAGAGGAGAGCTCTTGAGGGAGTCTTCCCCCAGCACAGTGAGGAACTGCAGGGTGAGTCACTTACTTCTGCACTTTAGGGTACTGCATCTCCAAGATGGCATTTGTAGATTCAGTCTGACTTTCTTTTAAATGCCTTGGCCACATGTTGTCTACCCAGTCAATGAAATCCACCTTTAACAAAAAACACAGGAAACATTTAGATCCAAGAGAAGGGCTGGGATTAAAGAGGAATTTTAAAAGAAAAATAGAATTCCTTGAAATATACACCAAAATACTACAATTTACTTTTGTGTGTGTGTGTGTGTGTGACAGGCAGAGTTAGACCGTGAGAGAGAGAGACAGACAGAAAGGTCTTCCTTCCATTGGTTCACTCCCCAAATGGCTGCTATGGCTGGCGTGCCGCGCCGATCTGAAGCCAGGAGCCAGGTGCCTCCTCCTAGTCTCCCATGCGGGTGCAGGGCCCAAGCACTTGGGCCATCCTCCACTGCCTTCCTGGGCCACAGCAGAGAGCTGGACTGGAAGAGGAGCAACCAGGACAGAACCAGCACCCCAACCGGGACTAGAACCCAAAGTACCAGCACCGCAGGCAGAGGATTAGCCTAGTGAGCCACAAAAATGCTACAATTTAATCAAAAGCAAATTAAGGCAAGCTGTTGGTGAACCTTAGTTACTAGGAAAACATTCTAGAAATAATTATTACATGAGAATAAAGGCCAATGGTTCTAGCAACACAAAGACAGCACTGACTCAAGTGGAGTCATCAAGTGACATAGTAGTGTCCAACCAAGAATTCTCTGCTCTGTCAACAATGGCATAATTTGCTGTATTTTTTTTTTTTTTTTGATCCAATAAAAGGTACTTTCTGGACGGTACCTGTAAACTCAGCACTGTAAAAGTGTAGCTAAGATACCAAATGTTTAAAAAAAATAATAAAAAAGACAAAATACGGGGCCAGCGCCGTGGCTCACTTGGTTAATCCTCCCCCTGCGGCGCCGGCATCACATATAGGTGCCGGGTTCTAGTCCCAGCTGCTCCTCTTCCAGTCCAGCTCTGTTATGGCCTGGGAAGGCAGTGGAGGATGGCCAGGTGCTTGGAGCCTGCACCCACATGGGAGACCAGGAGGGGGCACCTGGCTCCTGATCAGCACAGCGCCGGCCATGGTGGCCATTTGGGGAGTGAACCAAAGGAAGGAGGACCTTTCTCTCTGTCTCCCTCTTTCTGTCTATAACTCTGCCAAAAAAAAAAAAAAAAAAAAAAGACAAAATACAAAGAAAAGAAGGGCCGGAACCATGGCGCAGTAGGTTAATCCTCCGCCTGTGGCGCCAGCATCCCATATGGGTGCTGGTGCTGCGTCCTGGGAAAGCAGTAGAAGATGGCTCACATGCTTGGGCCTCTGCACCCACGTGGGAAACCCGGAAGAAGCACCTGGCTCCTGGCTTCGGAATGGTGCAGCTCAGGCCGTTGCGGCCATCTGGGGAGTGAACCAGCGGAGGGAAGATCTCTGTCTCTCCTTCTCACTGTCTGTAGCTCTACCTCTCAAATAAATAAAAATCTTAAAAAAAAAAAAAAAAAAGAAAAGAAAAAAAAGAAAAGAAAAGAAAAATCCAGCCTGGATTTACAGTCTTTCTTGGGCAACATACTACAGAAACTGCTAGGTTAGAAATCAGAGCCCCAGGTTCGTCAGGTCTTCTCGAAATCATGTGACGCTTTGGAATTCATCTGTAAAATGAAGGTAATTATTTCCAAGGGATGCTGTGAGGATTACATGCAAATACCTGCTACAATTTTTGAAGTAATGTTATCAGAGTTTAATATTCTGTTTTAAATATTATCTGCTGAAAGAAATGAGATCAAAAGCAATTAAGTTTATTTCAACATCTTACAGTGAATCATAGCACGCCTCCCACTGTCTGTACCCAATCACTGAACTCCTTGAGAGCCTTCGGTAGATCAAGAGTGACAGCCACACAACCACGAATCAGGACATGCCTCCAATATCTAGCATTAGTATACAGCCATAAACACACTTGTGGATTTGATCAGTGTATCTAGACAAACAACATGTGCAGATATCCCGTGGAAACCCAGGTGTTAACTGTGGGAGAGTGGACAGGATATCAATGACACGGAAGAAAACAAGCAAGAGGACCAATACTTAAGGTTAAGCTGCTGCTGCTTTTCAGAGAATTCCTGCTCAGAGCAGACAGTTCTAACCAAGCATCGACTGGGCCTTGAGCACTGAATGAGTACCAAACACCCTTTTCTTTCAAATGCAATCTACTTTCTGTTCCTTACTGTAGATACCTGCGTCTCTCATCACCTTGTTGTCATTTGGAAAAGTCTTTAACAGAATAATAATATATTTGCTCCATAGACTGTATGTTCTCAGTCTGGACAGGGAAAGAAAGGACTGGAACACAGCCATTCTCTCCTCCCTTTCTTTGGTAGTTCACGTATCACGTGACTACCCAGAGAATGTGTGGTGATGCGTCTGTACTTTGCTTCTTGGGTTAATGTTCAGCGTCTGGATAGGCTCCTTGCTATGGATCCTGATCCGTATGGGAGCAAGTCTCCAGCAAGGATAGCCACCAGCTTCAACATGTTCTGCACCAAAACCAGGGCCAAACTGGCAAGGAGCCCAGTAACTAGGACCCAATATTAATACATGCGAAAACAACTCACCCCCACAAATTTCCTTTTCACAAAACAAATGTGGACACAGTAGCTGCCAAGTGAGTTTTTCTACCTCTCAGTCACCGCTAGAGTAACAGCAACAAAAAATCCTTCACATCTCAGCACAGAACACTTCATGCCAGCTACCAAAACCGGCACGTACCAGCTATCCACCTCACTCCCTCATACCTCCCCTACCTCCTTTCCTTCCTTTTTTTTTTTTTTTTTTTTTAAGACTTATTTATTTGAAAAGCAGAGTGAGAAGAGAGAGGGAAGAGACAAAGAGATCTTCCATCTGCTGGTTCACTCCCCAAATGGCCACAACAGCCAGGGCTGGGCCAGGACGAAGCCAGGACCCCAGAGCTCTATCCGGGTCTCCCACATGGGTGGTAGGAACCCAAGTACTTGGGTCATTTTCCACTGCTTTCCCAAGCACAGAAGCAGGGAGCTAGTTCAGAAGTGGAACAGCCAGCACTTGAACCAGCACTCTGATAGGGGATGCCAACATTGCAAATGGCAACCTAACTGGCTACTCCACAACACTGATCCCCAAAGCCCTATTTCTACACATGCTGTCCTTTAGGCCTGCAATTCTAGTCTCCCTCTGTATGCCTCAGTATTATTTTTTTTTAAAGCACAACTTGTCCATTTAAAGATTAATTAATTTATTTGAAAGGCAGAGTTACGGAGGCACAGAAAGGGAGAGTGCGAGTGAGATCTTCCATCCGCTGGTTCACTCCTCAAATGGCTGCAATGGCCGGAGCTGGGCCAATCTGAAGCCAGGAGCAAAGAACTTCTTCCTGGTCTCCCACACGGGTACAGGGACCCAAGGACTTGGGTCATCCTCCATTGCTTTCCCAGGCCATAACAGAGAGCTGGATTGGAAGTGGAGCAGCCGGGACTCAAACTGGCACCCACATGGGAAGCTGGCACTGCAGGCAGCAGCCTTACCTGCTACACCACAGTGCTGGCCCCAAGCAACCGGGTCTTTAACTGCTACATTGCAGTACTGGCCCCTGCTTCATTATTTATTTCATATCAAATTTAGATATCATTTCCTTCCAAGAGCTTCCCCTAATTCTCCAGTTTAGATTACGTAGTTTCTTCTTATATGCCCCCATACCTTTCTGTATTTATTTACTTTTGAAGCACTTACCATATTGTAGTTTATTAAAATGCCTAGTTTCTGGGACCAGCACTGTGGCACAGTGGGTAAAGCTGCCGCCTGCAGTGCCAGCATCCCATATGGGTGCCAGTTCGAGTCCTGGCTGCTCCACTTGTGATCCAGCTCTCTGCTATGGCCCGGGAAAGCAGGAGGATGGCCCAAGTCCTTGTGTCCTGCACCCATATGGGAGACTAGGAGGAAGCTCCTGGCTCCTGGCTTCAGATTGGTGCAGTTCTGGCTGTTGCGGCCAATTAGAGAGTGAACCAGCAGATGAAGACCTCTCTCTGTGTAACTCTGACTTTCAGATAAATAAATAAATAAATAAATAAATCTTTTAAATAAAATAAAATGCCTAGTTTCTTATCTTTCTTCCCTATGAGTCTCTAAGCATTTTGAGGACAAGAATGATTTTTCACTCTGTCTCTAGCACATATTCGATTTTTTAGCATGCCATGGGCATTTGATAAACTGTTAAGCAAACTTTGAAGGTGGTGAAGACCACAGTCATCAAGAGATTATGTAACTCTAGGTTTAAGAAGCAACAATAGGGGCCCAGCACTGCGGTTCGTGGGTTAAAGCTGCCATCTGCAGCGCTGGCATCCCATAGGAACACCATTTCAGTCCTGGCTGCTCCACTTCAAATTTAGCTCCCAGTTTATGCACCTGGGAAAGCAACAGAAGACGATCCAAGTGCTTGAGGACCTGTACCATGTGGGAGACTGGGAAGAAGCTTCTGGTTTCAGCCTGGCCCAGCCCTGCCTACTGCAGGCATTAGGAGAGTGAACCAGTAGATGGAAGATTCTCTAACTCTTTGAAATACATATATAAGTCTTAAAAAAAAAAAAAAAAAAAAGGAAGCAACAGTATGAAATGGTCTGCATTTTGACTGTGGTGGAATTCAACATGAGTAAATATTTATTAAAACTCACTGAACTATATTTTATTTCTAAAATGAGTGTGTGCACCTACTGCTTGTCAATTTGACCTCAATAAAGTTAGTGTTTTAAAATGCATTAAGGAGATATACTGGAAAATACTTAAGTAACTGAAGGTATGTATAATGGGGAAAATATCAGTAGAATCAGCATGGCATTGCTTACATAGCCAGGTCATAAAAAGCCTGCTTGCTTTTTAAACGGTAACCTTGGTTAAAGGTCACTCAATCTTTCTGGCCAAGCTTTAGGTCCCTGAAACACACTGCTGCATTGTTGCTTCAGCCCTCCAGTTAATTTTCTATCTCTAATCTATTTCATAGGTTCTATTCTTATTAATTTTTATAAACTGATAAAGCTGCTTTATCATTAAAATTGGGGATAAAATGAATAAATTCAAGATGCTACAAAGAAGGTGTCATGTGTAAATACTCACATATTTCTAAATCTTAATAATGGAAATGTATGATCCAGGTCATTTTATATTTATAGCTATAATCATTATTTTTGAATTAAAATTGTAGGAATATTAAGGAAATAATATTTATAAACAAGGTTGCATTCTTACATCATTCTCTTAATGAATCATTTACTTAAAACTTGTTTTTTCATTGGGGTGGGTGTTTTGTTACAGTGGCTTAAGCCACCATTTAAGATGCCAGCATCTCATATGGGAGTGCTGATTCAAGTTCCAGCTGCTCTGCTTCCAACCCCGCTCCTCATGATGCGCCTCAGAAACCACCAGACGGTGGCGCTAACATGTGGCCCCTGCCACCCATGTGGGAGACCAGGATGCAGTTCAAGCAGTCACCACATTTCAACTCTGAAATCAAATGGTATAATTAGGGTAATTTCAGTGGAGACAGGATAAAACACTGAGACCTTGACTTCAATAAAATGACAAGAACATTCCAAGACCTACAGTACTATGTAGAATGCTTGAATCAATCAAGTTCAGAATCAGGAATTCAATGGATAAAAATGGTTGAAAACGACAGTGTAGGGGCTGGTGTTGTGGTGCAGCAGGGTAAGCAATAACACAGGCATCCCATATCAGAGGACCAGTTCAAGCCCCAGCTGCTCTGCTTCCAGTCCAGCTCCCTGTTATTGTGCCTAGAAAAGCAGTAGAAGATGGCCCCGTATTTGGGCCCCTGCCACTCATGTGGGAGACCTGGATGGAGCTCTGGGCTCCTGGCTTCCTTGCAGTCGTTGATGAGAGAACTGAAAGCTGCTAACTCTCTCTCTCTGCCTCTTCCTCTCTATCATTCTGCCTTTCAAATAAATAAAATGAACCAAAAAGAAAGACTAGGTATATTCCAAAGTGAAGCCACGCCGTCTCAGGGAAATGTGCTCTCAACATGATACAGACACACACTTTACCAAGAGATGGTTACATTAAAATCTGTCTTCAGGAAGACAAAATACCAAAACAAAAACACTAATTTTCCCTTAGAATAGGTTGTCACCCAGTACTACTAATCACCTACCAATCCTACTTGAGAAATCATTTCATTAACGCTCACCGGTTCTAAGCAAACTTCCCATCAATACGCATCTCATCAACTGAGGTAAGACTCCTCTCCATTACACGCAAAGGCCCAAGCCCATGATTAGGTCAATGGTGATGCTAATCAGAATGGCCCCCTCCTATACAAAGTTAAGTGATTTTGAAAAATGAAGAGTCTCCTAAAAATACATGTTATTCATATCAAATAGTCTTGCTTACCTTCAGGTTAATCTTAATATGTACAAAAAGCCTAAGTCTTCCAGTATTAAAAACAGCCCTTTTGGTGACACTGACAAATTGAGAAAATGGTTAGACTAACCGTGGAGGGCCTCTGCACCATGTTTTCTAGCCTGGTGTGGCTGAACTCTAGGCTGATGACATTATAGAGCTTCTCTCGCTCCTCTTCTGGGGTCTCGTAGTAGCGAGTCCACTGGGCCATGGTCATCTCAATGCCCTTCTGTGTGTTCACATCCATGACATCCACCATGCGGCGACTCCCTACCACGAAAGACACATTGATTACTTCTACTGAGCCACTAGTATTTTTAAATACTTGCATAAGAACATGAAACACAAGTGGGAGAAAATAAACTGTCCGTTCTTATGTAAGGTATCAGTAATAGACAAGGAGAGAGTTCTCACTTGAGATGGACAATCATAATCAAATTCCAGAGAATTGAAAAGGTGGTAATTTTAAAAATAACAATGATTCCTTCTGGTATGTTTGTTACACCATCAGCTGTTGAATCTTTTATGTAATATCTCATCTAATCCTGACAATTCTAAATGCCAAGTCCTAATCTCCATTCCATACATGAAAAACAGGTATTAGGTAAGTTGCAAGACAAGAGCTTAGGCAACCTACCTATAGAGACAAGGCTCTTATCAATGGAGCTCTATCTGCTTTGATGCAGGTTTGAAGGGAGACTTAATCTGTTCCACGATTTGAATAAATGAACACTAGATGCCATTTGAATTTGTCCATTCTGCTATGCAATGGGGCTACAGCATCAGTAGGCGATATATTTCTGTGGACCCACCACTGTATATGCAGCCCACTGTTGATTGGAAAGTTACCTAATGTGTAACAATACTTTAAAATGACTACAATGACAAATTTTATGTTACCTGTATTTAGTCATAATAAAAACTTAAAAGTAAATGCTTTAAGAGTATAGAGCAAAATAAAAGCAAAGTTGTAACCTCCCAATGCTTACAGAGCATTAAGTACTCTGTGTATGTAGACTATTTAGAAAATAATGATATGTATATCATTATATACAATGACAGTCACAGCAGTGACTAACATTTACCGGGATTTCAGTATGTGCAGACTTTGTGTTACATACTTTTCCCTGAAGCACTTGCCCCAGGTCACACAGCTAAGTGACTACTGGAACTGGGGTCTGAGTCCAGACACTTTCACTGCGCAGTCCTGGCTCCCGCACAACAAGCTGTATTCACAAAGTGTACATGACAAGAGGGCTTCCTTCTTTCTGGGACATAAACTGGCATTGGAGGAATAAAATTCTACGTGAGGCTGAGAAGAACTGGACTAGCAAAAACACAAATGGATTATTGTAATCATTTGTTCACTGCACTGTGACAATCACTAGTTATTCAAGAAACAAAAACATGTAAATTCAAAAAACTGGAAAATCAGCCGTAAGTTGACATTTCTTTTTATTTCTAATTGATACAATAATTGTAGTATGTATTCATGGGGTAGAATATGACATTAAATACATGCATACAATGTATAATGACCAGATCAGATTAACTGGCATATCTGTCACCTCAGGCATTGACCCATTTTGGCAAGATTTAAAATTCTCTCTACAAGCTATTTCAAAGTAATTTTTTTGGACAGGCAGAGTTGGACAGTGAGAGAGAGAGACAGACAGAAAGGTCTTCCTTCCATTGGTTCATCCCCCAAGTGGCCACTAGGGCCGGTGCTGTGCCGATCCGAAGCCAGGAGCCAGGTGCTTCCTCCTGGTCTCTCATGGGGGTGCAGGGCCAAAGCACTTGGGCCATCCTCCACTGCCTTCCCGGGCCACAGCAGAGAGCTGGACTGGAAGAGGAGCAACTGGGACAGAATCCAGCGCCCCGACCGGGACTAGAACCCGGGGTGCCGGCGCTGCAGGCGGAGGATTAGCCTACTGAGCCGCGGCGCCGACCTCAAAGTAATTATTGCCAATCACTGCCTGTAGTGCCAACATCCCGTATGTGTTCTGGCTTGTATCCTGGCTGCTCCTCTTCCTTTTTTTTTTTTTCTTCTTCTTCTTCTTCTTTTTTTTTTTTTTTTTTTTTTTGCAAGGCAAGAGTAGGACTGGACGGAGAGAGGAACAGAGAGAAAGGTCTTCCTTTGCCGTTGGTTCACCCTCCAATGGCCGCTGCGGCTGGTGCGCTGCGGCCAGCGTACCGCGCTGATCCGAAGGCAGGAGCCAGGTGCTTCTCCTGGTCTCCCATGGGGTGCAGGGCCCAAGTACTCGGGCCATCCTCCACTGCACTCCCGGGCCATAGCAGAGAGCTGGACTGGAAGAGGGACAACTGGGACAGAATCCGGCGCCCCGACTGGGACTAGAACCCGGTGTGCCGGCACCACAGGTGGAGGATTAGCCTATTGAGCCATGGCACCGGCCTGCTCCTCTTCTGATCCAGCTCTCTTTTATGGGCTGGGCCCCTGCCACCCACATGGGAGGCCCAGAAGGTGCTCCTGGTTCCTGGCTTCAGATCAGCCCAGCTCCAGCTCCAGCCATTACAATCATTTGGGGAGCAAACCAGTGGATGGAAGACCTTTCTCTCTGTCTCTCCCTCTCTCTGTCTGCAACTCTCTCAAATAAACGAATCAATTAAAAAAATACAATCAGGGTTGAGATTGTGACACAGTAGGTTAAGCCTCGGCCTGCAACACCAGCATCCCATATGGGTACCGGTTTATATCCCAGCTGCTCCTCTTCCAATCCACCTCCCTGCTAACAGCCTGGGAAAGAGGTGCAAGATGGCCCCTTTAGCTACATAGGAGCCCCAGAAGAATGACCACCAGTAGATGGAAGATCTCTCTGTCCCTTTCTCTTTCTCTTTCTCTCTAGCTTTGTCTTTCAAATAAATTTATCTTAAAAAAAAAAAAAAAAAAAAGAGAGAGAGAGAGAGGTGGGGCCTTTGAGAGGACTCCACAGTAGCACTGTTCTCCTTGCACTAAAAGGCCTTTCTCCCTCACTCTCATCATGCAGTAAATGTCCTTTGCCAGGCGCTAACTACTTGACAGTGGGTTTCCCACCCTCCAGAACTATAAGCCAAGAAACTTCTGTTCACTATAAATTACCCACTCTCAGATATTCTGTTACAGAAGTACAAAACAAACTAAGCATAAGGGGACATATGGGACATCTAGCAGCCCAAGATTTGCATTTTATGAGTACCAAGAGGAAAAAAGAGAAAGGAGCAGAGAGAATATTTCAAGAAATAATGGCTGAAAAATTCCCAAATTTGATAAAAAACATGAACATCCGAAAACCTCCACGAACCCTAGGTAAGATGAACTTGAAGAGACCCACAACTGAGACATGTTATAATCAAACTTCCAAAGGCAAAGAAAGCCACTTGGAAGTGTTAGAGAAGTGACTCTGATCATACAAAGGGATCTTAGTAAGATTGTGAGCAGTATATTAGCATTTTGTTGTTGCTGCTGGAACAAAACAACTGTTTACTTAACTTACAGCTTTGGAGGCTCAAAGTCCAAGATGGAGGGCCCCAGAGGCTGAAGCAACTGTGGCATGCTGTGGGGCCAATGGATGGCCTCTTGGCAGGAGTGTGAGAGAGGAGGGAACACATGGTGAGATAGGGTGATTAAGTGATCCCGGGGTCAGTCCTGCTCTTTTATAACTTTGTCTTGATGGGACCAACGGGAGTTCCACAGCAACCGGGCTGGTCCTCTCTTAGGGCAGTGACCCAGTTACCCTCCACTAGGCCTTCTCTCTCACATTACCGCACTGAGGACCAAGCATCTGACACGTTAACCCATGGAGGAAGAAGCACATCCGAACCATAGCAAGCAGTTTTCTTATCAGAAACTTTGGGAGTGTAGGAGCCACTGAGCCAATACATCCAGAGTATTTAAAAACAAAGGGGTCAGCACTGTGGCACAGTGGGTAAAACCGCTACCTGTGACCCCGGAATTCCCATATGGGTGCTGCTTCGAGTCCCAGCAGCTCTACTTCTGAACAACTCCATGCTAGTGCACCTGGGAAAGCAGCAGAAAATGGCCCAAGTGCAAGGGCCCCTGCACCCATGTGGGAGACCTGGAAGAAGTTCCTGGCTCCTGGCTTTGGACCAGACAGCTCTGGCTGTTGTAGCTACTCAGGGAGTAAGCCAGTGGATAGAGAATCTCTCTGTCCCTATTTTTCTCAGTAACCCTGCCTTTCAAATAAATAATTTTTTTTTTTTTGACAAGCAGAGTGGACAGTGAGAAAGAGAGACAGAGAGAAAGGTCTTCCTTTGCCATTGGTTCACCCTCCAATGGTCGCCACGGCCGGCGCACTGCACCCGGCGCACCGCGCTGATCCGATGGCAGGAGCCAGGTACTTATCCTGGTCTCCCATGGGGTGCAGGGCCCAAGCACTTGGGCCATCCTCCGCTGCACTCCCGGGCCACAACAGAGAGCTGGCCTGGAAGAGGGGCAACCGGGACAGAATCCGGCGCCCCGACCAGGACTAGAACCCGGTGTGCTGGCGCCGCAAGGCGGAGGATTAGCCTAGTGAGCCGCGGCGCCGGCCCAAATAAATAAATTTTTTAAAAGAGAGAGAAAGGTAAATAGGTAGACAGACAGACAGATATGGGGGCTGTCACTGCAGCTCTGCCAGTCAATCTGCAGCTTGTACCACCAGCACACCACATGGACGTTGCGGTTCAAGCCTCAGCTGCTCTGCTTCCAGTCTAGCTCCCTGCTAACGTGCCTGAGAAAGCAGTGGAAGATGGCCCAGAAATGTCTGGGTTCCTGAAACCCACATGAGAGACCTGGGTGGAGTTCCGTTCTCCCAACTTCGTCCCAGCCCAGTCCTAGCCACTGTTTCCAGGGAGTCAACCAGAAGATGGAAGATCTCTCTGTCACTCCCACTCTGCAACTCTGCCATTCAGTAAATAAATAAATCTTAGAGAACGACACTTTCAACCAAGAATCCTATAACTGGCAAAAGTGTCCTTAGAAAAGAGAGAAATTAATATTTTTCCAAATAAACAGTTAAGGGAATTTGTTACCTAATATTAGATATGTCCTTCAAGAAATGCTCCAATGAGTCCTGTGAGATGAGATAAAAAGGGGCTGGCGCTGTGGCGTAGCAGGTGAAGCCCCCACCTGCAGGGCCAGCATCGCTTATGGGCGCCAGTTCGAATCCTGGCTGCTCCACTTCAATCCAGCTCTCTGCTAATGGCCTGGGGAAGCAGTAAGAAGATGGCCCAAGTCCTTCGGCTCCTGTACCCACATGGATGGAAGATATCTCTCTCTCTCTCTCTCTGTCTCTGCCTCTAAGTAACTCTGCCTTTCAAATATAAATAAATCTTTTTTTTAAAAAAGATAAGAGTACACTAGGCAGTAAACTAAAGAAGTAAAGATCCCAATAAAGATAAATATATGATCAACTACAAAAGCTAGTACTGTTATAACAATGATTGGTTGGTTAATTTCTTTTTATTTACCATGTGATTTAAAAAACTAATACAGTTTATTTATTTTTAAAGATTTATTTATTTATTTGAGAGACAGAGTTAGAGAGAGTGGGAGACACAGAAAGGTCTTCCATCCACTGGTTCACTCTTCAAATGGCTGCGGTGGCCAGAGCTGGGCCAATCTGGTGCCAGGAGCTTCTTCCAGGTCTTCCACGTGAGTGCAGGGGCCCAAGCACTTGGGCCACCTTCCACTGCCTTCCCAGGCTGTTAGCAGGAAGCTGGATCAGAAAAGGAACAGCAGGGATATAAACCAGTACCCATATGGAATGCTGGTGTTGCAGGCTGGATCAGAAGTGGAGTCACCAGGACTCGAACAAGCACTCACATGGGATGCTGGCATCCCACTGGTGACTTTACCTGCTATGCCATAGGGCTGGCCCCGAGGTCCCAACCCTTAATACTGTTACAATGATAATTAAATTTAAACATAAGTCTTGGAGAGGACAAACACTTCTTTAATTGACTTTCATTTTCCTTTCGTTCTCTGAGTATCTGTAGGAGAACTGGTCTGAAGTCTAAGGACTAGCACAGTGGTACAATGGGTTAAGCCTCCATTGGCAACATCAGCATCCCTTAAGGGAGTTCAAGTCCCAGCTGTCCCACTTCTTACCCAGCTTCCTGCTAATGTAACTTAATGATGGCAAGTACTTGGCCCCTGCCACTCATGTTGAAATCTGGATGGAATTCCTGGCTCCTGGTTTCGGACTGGCCTATCCCTGGCTGCTGCAGACATTTGGTGAGTTAACCAGCAGACAGAAGGTCTCTTTCTCTCCCTCTTTCGCTCTTTCAAATAAATAGAGCTTTATAAAAATAAAAATCTTTGTCTAGTAGATCTAACATCAGGTCCTTTCAGGGGCAGTTTTGTGGTTTTTTCCCTTTGAATGGGCCATCTCTCTTATTTCTTCATATACCCTTGGACCTTTTGTTGAGTACTGGACATTAGAATCTAGAAATCAGATTCTTGCCCTTTCTCAGGATTTGCTGTATTGTTACTTCCCACCCACCGCCCCCCCCCCCAATAGCTGGAGGCTGTCCGTACCAAGAAATCAACTTGAGGCATATAATGGGAGTCTTCTCAGGTCTTTCTGAGCCTTTGCCTTTATGTGGGAACACAGTCACTTTCTCGTTTTCCCCATACGTGCAGCTGCTTGTCAACGTCCTAATCTCGGGCATCTGAGAGAGGGGTGAGGCCACAAGTCTTTTACAGCCCTTGGAAATCACTTCAGCCAGGGAGAAAGGGCTTGAAACAAGTAAGGGGAGGTGCAGTAACAAAGGCCACCTATGACCCCCAGTATCTGGCGGACAGGCCATTCTGGCCTCCCAAAGCTGTGTACAGGTTGTTCCAGAAAATACATACACAGCTGCTTGCCATGAGCCTGGCTGAACGACACAGGGAGGACATGGAGATGGGTAGCTACCACCGCACTAAGATCTGAAATGGACTTAGCTGCACTTTCCTGGCCAGGCCTTCCCCTGGAAGTTATAAGCTTTCAACAGACGCCACAGAGTACCAAAAGTAGTTTCATCAGACAGATTTCTGCCAGTGTCATTACCGCTTAGGCAGGGAGACTTGTTCCTGATGCTTCCTGTTCTGCCATAGTCCTGGAATATGCTCCAGGAACCTACACTATTAACAAGTATCACAGAGGAAATGATGCAAGTCACTAATGGATTATAAACTGTAGGAAAGTCTAACCAACATTTGGACCCTGAGAATTACTGCCCTGGAGGTCCACTAAGGGAAGTCAAACAATGGATTCTAAGTGTTCAGGAAGGTATGCTGTGGCCCGAAGAGGTCTCTGCCATGTGGAGGACAGGAGAACATCTACTGTACTCCAGGAGCTGTGCTACGTACTGAGAAACACACAATGACAAGCAGATGGCTAGACTCTAACGTAGAAACAACAGATGAAAAGTACAGGGATTCGAGAATTTTACTCTGAGCTTTCTGTGGCTTCCACTTCTGGGATGAACGGAAGAGTTCAGCAGATTTAACAAGGGCCCCCAAGTGGTCAACAGATAGCACTGCAGCACGTAACTCCTGAAGCAAAGACGCGGTGCTGGAGCTTTCTTAGTTCAGAGGACAGAACAGACGCTGTCTGGAGAGTCCACAGACTCTTTCAGTTTCGTGATCTGTCGGGAACATTTCAGAAAGGCTTCACTCCACTTAACTGCCTCGTCAATGACAGAAGAGTGACCATCTTTGGAGGCCTAAGGATCCTGGGGTGTCTGGAGTCACAATGGACATCAATTGCAGGAAATTAACCCAAACCTTCACTAACCACAGGAAGTTTTCTTCCTTTATTAGATCATTCTAATTTGCTCTTTTCTTAAGCTTTTTTTTTTTTTTTTTTTTTACAGGTAGAGTTATAGACAGTGAGAGAGAGAGAGACAGAGAGAAAGGTCTTCCCTCCGTTGGTTCACTCCCCCAATGGCCACCATGGCCGACGCTGCACCGATCCGAAGCCAGGAGCCGGGCACCTCCTCCCGATCTCCCATGGGGGTGCAGGGACCCAAGCACCACTGCCCTCCAGAGCCACAGCAGAGAGCTGGACTGGAAGAGGAGCAACCAGGACAGAATCCGGCGCCCCGTCCGGGACTAGAACCCAGGGTGCCAGTTCTGTAGGCAGAGGATTAGCCTAGTGAGCTGTGGCGCTGGCCTCTTTTCTTAAGTTTTAAATAAATAAAAGTCATATTAAAGACAATTTAACTAGTCATGGATGAAGAGAAATTTTAATGTATCTACTTCTCAGCTTACGAAATTACAGCCGTACACAAGTTACCAAACAGCACTGGCAAGGATTTCCTGGAAATTTCTCACTGCTTTTAGGATAAATGAAAAGAATCACCACAGTTATCAATAAAGTTTCATTCTTGGTCTAGATATACAAGCTTTCAGTTTCCTGGGTAGGTTGCCCTCTAGTAGGCAAGTTCTTCAGAGAAAGGGAAAGACATACAATGAAAAAAATGGTAAACACACACAAAAAAAGAGATTCAAATGTTCTTAGTCTACCAAATATTAACTGAGACAACTTCTATAACTCCCTTTGAACAAATTCTCAGGTGCTAACAAAATAGAAGTTTCTATCCATTGTGTATCCTTCAATGCTCCTAAGCCTTAAATCTCTGGCAGAGATTTAATGAAAACTTGGGACTTACCCACACACATTTTGACATCATTCACAGTGAAGTCTGGGTCTGGCATCCTAGGAAACAAACACCACTGAGCATACTGGAAAGTGTGACACCAACAAGTCTGAGAATCCCCAGACCAACCAATCTTGACATTAGGCTTGAAATTATTTTCTAAGTAAAAATTATCATATATTTACATGCATACATAGGAAAGCAATATATAACAAAACGTTAACAATGATTATCTGAGAGGCAGATAGAAGACAAATTTGCTCATTTGTTATTTTCCTATTTACCTGTTAACACAAATCATTTGCATAACCAAAAAAGAAACTCATACACTTTTTAAATGAAGTAGAAATTTATCTTCAGATATCTACTGCTTTGTGCATACTCCTGAATGTAACATGACCATTCTGCAACCACCTCTAGCCAGGACAAGAATACTTACTTTATTCCAAGTCCATCAGAATTCTTGAAAATTAGAGGGTCTCTCAAGCCACCCCGCTGGATATACTCTACATTAAAATCTGTGACCACAGGAAAACAATTATTAGAAGAACAAGCGGCATAATTGGAAAAAGATAAAAAGATCATAAAAAGGAGCCTAAGTCAGAAGTTAGTAAGATGGTTGTGCTCTTGCAGACAATAAACACATGCTATTACAAAGCGTTTAACAGGCAGAGTACACTTAGAAGCTAGGTTGGGGGGGGGGGGTTGCTAACAGAGTATTTTCACAGAAAAGTCAGAACTTAAACAGGAAGTATCACTATGTAAAGTCTACGAAGAAACTATTACCTTGTCTTAACAGATAAAAACACTAATTCTGGCCATGACAATACACGTGACATCCTTGTTAGTTTGTCAAGGATCAAGGCAGAATTGTACACACAGAAGCCTACTTTGCTAAGGGTAGGGTGAGTATGCATAAAAAGGTTTTTATTGTGATAGTTTTGATTAAACCCAAACCAAGGGACGAGAGTAGGCAAAGGCCTTTAAGAAAAAAACTCAAACAACATTCCTTTCTTAATAAAGGATTGCTTCTGGGGCTGGCACTGTGGCATAGCGGGTAAAGCCACCACCAGCACTGCCAGCATTCCATATGGGTTGCTGGTTCAAGTCCCGACTGCTCCTCTTCCCATCCAGCTCTCTGCTATGGCCCGAGAAAGCAGTGGAAGATGGCCCAAGTCCTTGGGGCCCTGCACCTGCATGGGAAGACCCAGAGGAAGCTCCTGGCTTCAGATCAGTGCAGCTACGGCCACTGTGGGCAATTGGGGAGTAAACCAGCAGATGGAAGACCTCTCTTTCTCTCTGCCTCTCCTTCTCTCTCTGTGTAACTCTTTCAAATAAATAAATCTTTAAAATAAATGAATAAATAAAGATAAGATTGCTTTTAATGTAGCAGAGAACGACTCATAAGGTAGATAGAGGGACGGGAGGGGTACGTAAAGAGCCTAACAAGGGAGAACAGATCAACAGCATCAACAGGAATATTTCAACTACACAGATGACAGCACTACAATTTTCAGATCTGCAGATCTGAACCAAAATGATACTGACCTTTTCCTTCCATAAAAGTTACAAAATTGGCATTATATTTGTTGGTGTGGAGTTTTTCTTCCAAATCAAAAGTTCTTTTCCCTTCAATTTCATCATCTGAAATGCCATCGTCTTCATAGCGCCGTCTCATGGTACCACGCTGGGAGAGAAGGCACACAAGGATAAAATCATTCTTATCTACCATGGTCGGGGTTTCTCCTGGATATACAAAGCACTATGTCCAGTACCAGCTTTCCTTGCCTTTATGATAAATCTTTTCTTTCTTCCAACTCAAGATCATCTGGTATTCTCAGATGAATACAAAGAATACAGCAAAGTTTTGACGAACTACTTGTTCCCTACCTGCAAATTTTACTTTTGCTAATAACTCTTTGAACCTAGAGATACAAATTCATACACACACACACACAAAAACTAAACAGGGTCTACTAATTATTATATTTGTCTATCATAGCTTGTCTTCATAGACATTACAATCAAGAATGCAAAACAGGAAGGCACTTCATAAAGTTTGTTAACAATTAAATTAAAATAGAAGTTTCTTCTGGTGTAAAAATGTTTGAAATCCACACATAGCTTTTTTCATACTACGCATTTTCCATGAACCCTCTGAAGACCTTTCTTGCATATGGATTTCAAAAAATTTTCACACCAAAATGAACTTAACCTGTAATTCCATTTTCCACAAACTTTCTGAAGTACCCTTATATAATTTTTCCATAAGGGAGTGTTGTATCTAGTAGTAGTTTTGTAAAACAACCTTAACAATAGCCTAAAATATCTGAATTAATGGATGAAAAATCTTTTCTCTCAGATGAAGGAAGAGTAACAATCTATACAACAGCATTCTAAATAGCCAACCATCAATATGTAGCTTTAAAGGTAAAGCAGCTCTTCGGCCGGCGCCGCGGCTCACTAGGCTAATCCTCCGCCTAGCGGCGCCGGCACACCGGGTTCTAGTCCCGGTCAGGGCGCCGGATTCTGTCCCGGTTGCCCCTCTTCCAGGCCAGCCCTCTGCTGTGGCCAGGGAGTGCAGTGGAGGATGGCCCAAGTGCTTGGGCCCTGCACCCCATGGGAGACCAGGAAAAGCACCTGGCTCCTGGCTCCTGCCATCGGATCAGCGCGGTGCGCCGGCCGCATCGCGCTGGCCGCGGCGGCCATTGGAGGGTGAACCAACGGCAAAGGAAGACCTTTCTCTCTGTCTCTCTCTCTCTCACTGTCCACTCTGCCTGTCAAAAAAAAAAAAAAAGGTAAAGCAGCTCTTCAAGATACACAAGTAGCCAATAAGCACATAAAAAGATGCTCAGTATTGTCAGTCATGGGGAAATACAAATCGAAACCACAACGAAATACTCCTGCACACCCACTAGGACGGGTTTCATTAAAGACAGACCTAACAAGTGTTGGCATGAATGTGGAGGAACTGGAAACTGCACAAATACATAGCTGACAGAATGTAAAACAGTGTAGCCACTTTGGCAAACAGTTCAGAAACTCTGCAGAAGGTCAAATGATCCACTAATTTCACTCCCCAAACTGAAAATATATATCCTGGATATCAAAACAAAAACTTTTACACAGATGTTCACAGCCCAATGGTACAATCCAAATGACAGTTGGTGAATCAATTAACAAAATGTGGTCTAGATATCTAACAGGTGACTGACCACAAAAAAAGAATGAAGCACTGCTATAACATGGATATAACATGGATAAACCTTGAAAATATTATGCTAAGAAGCCAGACACAAAAGATCACATGTCATATGTCATTTACATGAAGTGTCTGGAAAAGGCAAATGCACACAGACAAAAAGCAGATTAGTGGTTCAAAGTGGGCAGCAGAAGGAGGAATGATGAATGAATGATAATGGTATGGATTTCTTTCAGAAGCACTGAAAATGTTCTGGAATTTGATAATGTTGATCTGTGAATAACTGAATATAAGAAAAGAACCACTGAATTGCATATTTAAACAAGTGAATTTTATGATGAATTCTATCTCGTAAACTATTATTTTAAAATTACGCTTATGCTGAAAATTTACTTTTATATGTATTTTACTTTAGCTGATGTTAGGATTTGCTTAAATTCCTTGAATACATATCTAAAGGTCAACTAGAATAGAAACAATGAATAGGTCAGGGTAAACTAACCCTACCCTTGGTATATGCCAATAACAAATAAACCCCAGAATTTTTTTTTTTTTTTTTGGACAGGCAGAGAGACAGAGAGAAAGGTCTTCCTTTGCCGTTGGTTCACCCTCCAATGGCCCCCGCGGCCAGTGCGGCCAGTGCGCAGCGGCCGGCACACTGCGCTGATCCGATGGCAGGAGCCAGGAGCCAGGTGCTTTTCCTGGTCTCCCACGGGGTGCAGGGCCCAAGCACTTGGGCCATCCTCCACTGCACTCCTTGGCCACAGCAGAGAGCTGGCCTGGAAGAGGGGCAACCGGGACAGACTCCGGCTCCCCGACCGGGACTAGAACCCGGTGTGCCAGTGCCGCTAGGCAGAGGATTAGCCTAGTGAGCCGCGGCGCCGGCCTAAACCCCAGAATTTAAAGTTAGGTGTTGGTTATATAGAGCTGATGACATAATACCTCAATCTACATAAATACATTAAAAATGAGATACTAGAGGAGCTAGTGCCGTAGCATAGCGGGTAAAGCGGCTGCCTGCAGTGCCGGCGTCCCATATGGGCGCCGGTTCAAGTCCTGGCTGCTCCGCTTACGATCCAGCTCTCTGCTGTGGCCTGGGAAAGCAGTAGAAGATGGCCCAAGTCCTTGGGAACCTGAATCCACATGGGAGGCTGGAATAATCTCCTGGCTTCGGATCTACGCAGCTCCAGCTGTTGCAGCCATCTGGGGAGTGAACCAGCGGATGGAAGACCTCTCTCTCTCTGTGTAACTCTTTCAAATAAATAAACAAATCTTTTAAGAAAAATGAGATATTAGAGAATGGTCTCTCAGTAAGTTAAGATCTATGAAAGGGGAAAAATAAGTCATAAAAAATAAAAATTAGGGGCCAGTGTTGTGGCATAGTGGGTAATGCCACTGCTTGCGATGCCAGCATCCCATATGGGTGTTGGTTCATGTCCCGGCTGCTCCACTCCTGATCCAGCTCCCTGCTAATGGTCCAGGAAAAGCAGTGCAAGATGGCTCAAGTGCTTGAGCCTCTGCTACCCACGTGGGAGACCTGAATGAAGCTCCTGGCTTCAGCTTAGCCCAGCGCTTGAAACCTGGGGAGCAAACCAGTGAATGGAAGACCCCTCCCTCCCCCTCTTCTGTCTGTTAACTCTTTCCAATTAAATAAATCTTAAATATATATGTATGTGTGTGTGTGTGTGTGTGTGTGTGTGTGTGTGTGTATATATATATATATATATATAAAGAGTGAAGCTTGGACACCCAGGCAGGACAAAGCACAGTGGTCAGGCTGCCACTTGAGATGCTGGTATCCCATATCGGAGTACAGGTTCAAGTTCTGGCTGCTCCACTTCTGAGCAGCTTCCCACAATGCACCAGGGAAGGGAGCAGAGGATAGCCCAAGAGCTTGGGCCCCTGCCACCGGTGTGGAAAACAGGAAGGAGAGAGCCTGGTCCAGCCCCAGTTATCACAGTCATTTGGAGAGTGAACCAGCAGATGGAATACCTCTCTCTCTCTCTCTAACTCTGCCCTTCAAATAAATAAATAAATCTTTAAAAAAAACAAATAAACCCTTAACATTTAGGGTCAACTGACTTCCAAACTGGGCCAAGAAGTCTTTATTAACATGCAAAAGAATAAAGCTAGCCCTCTACCTCATACCACATAGAGAAAAATTAACTTAAAATAGATCAAAGACCTAAATGTTAGAGCTAAAACTATAAGATTCTCTTTTAAAATTCTTTGAAAAATTATTTTATTTTAAAGGCTGAGAGAGAGAAATCTCTGATCTGTTGGTTCGCTCCCTAGGCCAGGCTGAAGGCAGGAGCCAGGAACTCCATCCAGGTCTACAATACGTGTGAGAGCGATTCAACTACACATCAGCATGAAGCTGGAATTGGGAGTGGAGTAGAGCAAAGAGTAGAACCCAGGCACTCTGATACGGGGTGCAGGCATCCATAGAGGTGTCTTAACTGCTGTATCAATGTCTACCCCCTAAAACCGTTAACATCTGTAGAAGAAAATATACTGTAAATATTCCCATTTTTAATTAGGCAAGGGTTTCTTACATGTGACACCAAAAGCACAAGTAACAACAACAAAACAGATTAACTCTGGACTTCCTTAAAATCAAAACCTTTTGTGCTTCAAAAATCACAATCAGGAATGTGAAAACAGGATCTGTAGAACAGGATTTTTTCCCACTCATAAATGATGTATGTAGTAAGGCTCTAACATCCAGAATATCTAAAGAACTCTTATAACTCAACAATAAAAAAGACAAAGGAACAGTTGTTGTGACCCAACATGTTAGCTGCTGCTTGGGACTGCCACATCCCATATGGGAATGCTTGGTCTGAGTCCTGGCTACTACACACTTCTGATCCACCTTCACACTGCTATGCCCAGGAGGCAGCAGATGAGACTCAAGTACCTGGGTTCCAGCCACCCACACTGGAGACCAGCATGGAGTTCCTGGCTCCAGGCTTTGGCCTGGCCTAGCCCTGGCTATTTAGTATCATTTGAGGAGTGAATCAGTGGAGGGTAGATTTCTCTGTTTTTCAAATAAAATGAAAATAAAGACAAAAATAACAATTTAAAAATGAACAAAGGATGTGGATATATTTTTCGCAATGAAATGCAACTGGCAATAAGCACATGATAACACATCATTAGTCATTAGGCTCAACATCATCAGTCATTAAAGAATCATAATCAAAACTACAAGGAGATGCACCTTCCAGTCCAGTAATAACAAGTGCTAGTGAGGGAGTAGAGGACTGGAATCCAGATATGCTGCTGGTGGGAACGCAAAATAGTGCAGCAGCCCCCGTGGTAAGTAGTCAGGTGGTGTCTCAAATGGTTCAACATAAAACTACAATCTGACTGAACAATTCCGTTTCTATGTATCCACTCAAGATAATGCAAACATTCATTTACATAAAAACTTGGAGATAAAGAATTGTAGCAACATTATTCAAAATAGCCAAAAAATAGAA